GCACAGCATGACCTACATTTAAAATCGTGTCGGCATAGAACACCACTCAAAGCAGAAAGTATTTCAAAATGTAGGAAGATATTAAGGATGCCATAACTTAGCGTTGCTTTATGTGAAACCGGAAAACAGCAACCAGATATGGCCGCAGAACAACATTCACTTATGCTTTAGCATTCACACACGCAGTCAGGCTAATGTGTGTTGCCATCTAGAGGAGCATCCCCGCCATGTTTTAGCGACAGTTGACAACAATTTTGATATCGTTCAACATCCTCTGCATCTTGAGTGTAGTCGTTGTACAATATTTTTTTATTTTCATTTTGGCAAATACTACATAATCATGATCAAGGTTATTGGATCAACGTTCAATAAGACAGTCGACTTGTTTCCAACATGAAAAAATAAACACGTTGTGAACTTTTTGGCCAAATGCCATGTTCAACAATCATCATCTGTTTAAAGTTTATGATCATTAATTGGATCATTAATGTTGGAGTGTTGTTGTTACTACTCGGTTTCCATTTCACTCTCGTCTGGTCTGGTCTGATGTGTGTTAAACAAATTACGCTACATGTGTTTGTTACAGGTTTGGTTGACCACAATTAAAATAAAAACTTTTTGATTTCCATATCATCTTGGCTGATGTAAAAGTTAAGTTTTATTGTTGTCTGTTAGTCCATTTTTCGAATCACATTCAAAGTTTATGTAAGAGATGGGTCTTTTTTTCAATACACTTTTTACTTTTTATATGGCAGTAGTTTATTTTCAATTATTACCTGTTAATTTATTTATAAATGTCGTACAGGACAGGTGTGAAACAATAAATAAACATTTATATTGTTAATACGTTTTAAAGGGTTATCCATTTCATTCCAAAAGTATGGGACTTAAATTCGAGTTCTGCCAAACTATGTTGTTAAACCAATTTAGTTTTTTCCTGTTGAAGTCCTGACATTGACGAAATCATTTTTATGAGATATTGCAGGACATCCAAATTTCGATAATTTTCAAACGACAGGCAAATTTTTGAAGACTTAAATTATAATTACAAAACTTAATTTTTGGAAATTGTCCCTATTTTCGGCCACAAATCAGACTAGAGATTAAGGAAAATATTGAACGATAGCATATACGTATACTGAGTAGGATGAGTGGTGATATCCGAAACTATTGCCTTCACTGCCTTACCCGCTGGTCGACAATGCCATACTTTCCGCACTAATAAACAGATGCTTTATAAAAACAACAACCTGGGATAACGCCTGACTATTTTGCAATAACTGAATAAAAAACGAGTAAGGAAAGTAGTAAAGTCGGTCTGGGCCGACTATATGATACTCTTCATCACTTTGGATATATTTTACATATCGACGCCTCCGAACCATAGTATGGTAAGTCGACTTAGCATGTTTTAAAGTTCTTTACGTTTTTAGATACTACGGTCCTTAATTTAAATTCACTGACATTTTTGTAATCATCGGCCAATCCAAACCAAAGTTATAAGCAAAAATGTACTTAGCATGGCACGTACGATAACAGAAACTTCCATACTTTGAAAGCTTCTACTGAAAAACTCACTTTTCACACTTAGCATACTATGGTTCGGAGGCGTCGATATGTATCCTAACCATTTCATGTCAATATTTCTTCGAGTGAAATTTAACAAATTTAATTATGTGACCTTTATCTATAAGTGCACCGCTTAACATCAATCCATACACATACACGTATTACACATGCCTTTCTGCAACATATGCTAAATTTCACTTCATTTATTTACCTTAAATCGGACGAAAATATATGTGAGAGCTATCTATCTACATCTGAACCGAAACTTTACATACATTATTCTACAATTAATTCAGTGTGCTATAGCAAATTTCGTGCAAGGCGAAAGATATATAGGGACTTTGGTGCACTATTTACCCATTCTCGATTGTAAATTTTCAAGATTTTCATTGGACTGGTAAATGAATACCAATGCATATTAAAACGGAATATACATTAGAACATTTTACCGGGTTAACCTACTTTATGAGGATTTATTTGACATATATGCAAAGGAATTGACAATTGAAACCTACTTGGTTAACGAAATCGGGTTAAATGTAAACGTACATAAGGTCTGTAACTTTACACATATATAATTGAAGATTTAAAAGAGAAGAAAAATAATTTGCAAACTTTCCAAGGGTGTTAGAAAGAGTACATGTTTGGTTCTCGTATGACCTAGAACTATTGACTTCGCTCAAAAATTAACAAAACGACGTACCTTTAAAATTTTTTTGGAAAGTCGCCTATTTTTGACCACAAACTAAGTTAAAAAATAAGGAAGTTCTTCGTCAATTGTATGTATCCCAGTTCATACGATAGCTATACACTCCCAGAGAAACGTGTCAAAATCCGAATGGATTATTATTTTTGAGTTATCGTGCCCGCCATTCGTTAAACACTGCTTCGAGAAACATGCGTTTAAAGTTTGAGAATCAGCCTTGCCGTCACTTGATGCGTACACAATAAATCAACTATATCTTCAAGAGAGATATAGTTGATGAGATTTTCACTTGAAATTTTGTAGGGACATTCTTGAATTAGTGTAGATTCAAAAAACTAAATAAAAATATTTGACACCATGAATAAGGGCGTCTCCCCTTAAATCAGGCGAAAATATATGTGGGAGCTATATCTAAATCTGAACCGATTTTTCACAACTTCAATAGTGTTCGTCTTTGGGCCAAATAAGTGACCTGTGCCTAATTCCATCCAATTCGGATCATGAATGCCACCTGTACTTTGTTTACAATTTAACATGGAAAGACAAATGGACGGACGGATTCTATACATGTTCTCAAAAGGAACTAGCACAAAGACATTGCAAACATATGCACAAATTTTTTAAAAAATTCACAGTTTCACAGCTCTCCAAAATATATTTTTTAAACGTCCACTTCTTTTATAGCAACCAAAATTGTTTCTTTAAAATATCCACACTTATATTATATCAGGCCAAAAATATATTCTTTAAAAATACACGTCTATTACAGCCCCCAAAAGCTATTATTACGCCTATTACAGAACTCCTACAAAATGACGACGCTTGTATAACCCATCGAAAATATTCTTTAAAAATCCACCAAGTTCACCAAAAATATTCTTTAACCAGTGAGCGGAGAAGTATAGTCGGACGGGGCCGACCATATGATACCCTACACAACTACTACGAAAAGCACACTATCGGCGGTTCTATATTCTGAGCCTGGGCAATATTTCGTAATATTTTCACCCTTTTTACCGATTATAGATCAACAACTCTTCTTTCTAAGTCTTGCATATTTTCCAAAATGTTTTCTTGAAGTTAATTTTTACGCCATACAATAAAAAATTGGTGATTTTAGCTTTTGGTTGATTTGACCTCGGAAAATTGACCGATCATCATCTAAAATGCCGCTCTAAGTATTTGGTCAGATCCCCTTCACCTTGTAAAATATGTGATGTTCTGCAATTGATAATTGCCTCTAGAGCGACTAGAAAATCTGACAAAATTAAAGTTTTCGGTTCATTGCACCCCCTGAATGAAATCAAAACTTCACCGAAAACTATAGGCGTCGTCCTTGACCATAATCGGAACTTCATGTACAATTCAAAGCGATCAGCGTGACATTTCCGTCCTCTAATGGAGTAATAGTAATAATATGCACATAGTCACCTTTACTTAATTACGTATAACTCCCGCATCGGAGTACATACAGCCATATAATTGATATCAAATTGAAGGTCAACAACTCATCTTGGACATAATATCAATATCTCGAGTATATGTCCTTCAGGAGCAAGTATATACGCCCCAGAATAAAAATTTTGTAACTTTTCACACAAAAGTCAGGGTCCATTTGAACCGCTAAATAAATGCTTATTCTTATTCTTAGGCCCGATCCCCTTCTCCATGTAAAATTATAAATATACCACGTGTTATAATACTTTAAAAATGTCCTTTAAAAATAACGCCTAATAGCCCTTAAAAAATAATCTCTAAAAATGCTCATTCATAGACCTAAAAAAAAGTTATTTTTTTCAAAAAATCCACAATTAAATATTTTTTTAAATCCAAACCAACTAAAATTAAAACAAAATCTGCGACTTTTACCCTTTGTGGCCCGAATTTTTACCCGTGACAATAGAACTATTTTCTGTGCACAGATTTAAAGTAACTATCCTAAATACGATATGAACAAAAGTTCATGTCGCTTCATCCTTGCATTCGGGAGATATATTACATTCTTTTCGAAAAATAAAAGTATAATATCAACAAAAGCAAATACAATATCGAAGGGAAATATTTTGGACTGTATACACAATTTGGTACTGTAGTATTTTTGCACTCATCTATGTATTGGAAGGCGTATAACTTGACCAAAATTTTGATTCTTTTAACCTCCATGCCTATTCTTTAAATATTCTTTAAAATTCACACATGTCATAACCCCTTAAAAATATTATAACGGTTATATTATTATCTTAGCCAGAAAGTTGGGCCAATATTGACAATATAAAATTGTAGCCAATTCGTTTGAAAAACGCGCCCAAAATATCGAAATTTGAAAGCAATCGTTGTATGGGGTTTTCTTGTAAAAAGTTGACCAATATTGATAGTTTTCGGTACGAAGGTTTGTTGCCGAATGAGAATGAAAAAATACCTAATTACCATTATATGATATTTTCAATATCAAATATCCCGTGATTTTAAAATATACACACCAATTTTTTTCAATATTCTTGCATCAGAGTTGTTTTCGCAATTCCTTCACTTAGCCCAGACACGAACCTTTATGTATGGTGTCCGTTGCTAAGTAGCACAATATTTGTTTATCTAAACAAACATCCTTGCCTAAAACTTTATTTGAAGTAAATTTCCATCTCTTGTGAATCAAAAGATTCAATTTAATTGCACTAAAATGTCTTCAAATTATAATAAAAATTCTAAAAATCACCAAATACCAATAATGTGTGATACAAAAAGTGGCAGCCCTGAAAAGGAAATCAATTTAAATGAGTTTTTGGATTTTTTAAATCTGTCCTGTCATGTCAATGACATGATTTCTCAGACAACGACACAAATCGGAAAGGATAGTAGTAATCACTTGCATCATCAACATCATCATGGCGTTGGAAAAACTCCAAACACAGGTGCAATTTCAAAATCCCATAATTCCCAGAAGTCCATAGATTTTCAACAATTGGCCAATAATCGTTTGGTAAATGATTTATTTGGTTATCGAAATAGTCCGAGGCAAACAACAAATATCACCGATGAGGTGACAGACAGTGGTCCCAGTACTGGTAGTAGTGGAGGAAGTGGTGGTGGTGGTGGTTTTACGACTGAGATAAACCGTTTGCGCAGACAAAATTCAATAACAATGGCCAAGGCAAAATCAAGCCATCCCGGCTCTGATGGAACTTTACATCCGAAATTAAATGAAAAATTAGATTTCATACTCAATGAAGGTATTTTGGATGCCGTGTTGCCCTTCATATGTCCCGTACCATTGCCGGCTAATTACAATAACCGCTTAAAGCCCAAAGGTAAAGAAACGACCGGCAAAGCTTCATTCACAACTATAACTGAAGCAAAAAATACCACAGAAGGCGAAACTGAAGCATCAACATCAACAACAGGCAAGGAGTCGAATACCAATACTACAAAATCATCGGTCAAAGCTCCGACAACATTAAGTGTGGCAAAAACCATGACAACTATCCACACGGGTCCATCCAACAAAAAGGAGTGAGTATTTGATTTCAAATAAAAAAATATTATTTTTGAAATGTTAAAAACAATATATTTTTATATATTAGACCCGAGGTCATAATCCATGTCTGCGATGAGGTTAAGAACACCTCCAAAGATTTCCAGTGTCCTCAGAGTTTGTTAGTCAGCAAGATGGGCTATTTTGCCGATGTTACTGCCGGTCAAAAATTAGAGGACATGGACATATCCGTACATTGCGATATTCAAATATTCGATTGGCTTATGAAATGGGTAAAATCGGATTCCATATCGAGTGCAGCTGATCTATCTGATGGGCCACCAAATTTGAATGTTAATAATGTGGTGCCCATATTGGTATCGGCCAGCTTTTTACAGGTAAGGACATGTTCGTGTTTCTCTTTTACCTCAACCTTCAAGATAAAAAGGAAATGCGAACAGAACTCTTCTTCACCATCTTCTTTTTTGTCAATATTGGTTAAAAATTTGCCTTTGGAATAATATATCCAAAGTTAGGTCAAGATCGAAGAGACTATTGCTTTTGTTTGTTTAGGGAATTATAAGTCCACATACTCTAAGTGCGGAACCCTAATTTGTAATTTGACACTCCGGGAAGGGTGAGCAAAATCTTTGATGTAAATTACAGGACGAGAAAAATCTGTGCAGAACATTTTTGATATAAGTCCATTTGTCGATATATCCCTCCGAAGTGACTGTAAATTTCAGTTTCCTGGAGGGTGAGATATAATTCGGCAGAATATTTTTTGATAGAATCCCGAAATTGGGTTCTTTGATGATAAGGAACTAATTTTTAATATAGGCCTTCTTATCGATGACCTGGACGTTATTATCGGTCTTCTTATGGAATACGTGGAGGCCCTCTTATAGAATACCTGAAGGTCTTCTTAGTTAAAACCACGAACTCTTCTTATCCAAGACCTTAAGCTCTTTTTATATAAGGCCTGGAAGTCTTCTTAAAGACGACCTTGAGCTCTTCTTTTATCTAAGACCTATACCTGAGGTCTTTTAGAAGGCCTTGAGGTTTTCTTATCGAGAGTCTTGATGTCTTCTGGAGGTCTTCTTATCGATGACCTAAAGCTCTTCTTATCGAATACCTGTAGGTCTATAGAAAGCCTTGAGATCTTCTTATCGAAGACTGCAGGTCTTCTTATCGAAGACTGCAGGTCTTCTTATCGAAGACTGTAGGTCTTCTTATCGAAGACCTGTAGGTCTTCTTATCGAATCTCTTCTTATAGATGATCTTAAGCTCTTCTAATAGATGACCTGAAGCTCTTCTTATCGAAGACGTGGCGGTCTTATATATGACCTTGATGACTTCTTATCGAAGATTTTGAAGACTACTTATCAAAGACCTAAAGATTTTCCTACGTAAGACCTGGCGGTATTTTTTTTAGAAGAAGTGGAGGTCTTCTTATTGAAGGTCTTCTTATAGAAGGCATAAACGTCTTCTTATCGACGCTGAAAGTTTTCTCATCGTAGATCTTGAGGTCTATCGAAGGACTTGAAATCTACTTATCGAAGAACTGTAGGTCTTCTTATCGAAGACCTGTGGGACTTTTTTGTAGAAGGCCTTGAGGTCTTCTTATCGATTACCTGAAGTTACTCTTATCGATCAAAGACCTGGTCGGAACCCTTAGCCTTATGCCAGAAATTTTGGTAGGATTTAGAAAATCAAATAAAAAATGGTACACGCTTAGTTTGGAAAATTCGGCTTATATCTTTAACATGCCGAAAATGGAGCGGGTCCATGTTAACCCTTTCAGTGTTTTTGTCGAATATATTCGACATTTAAAAATTCTCTCTTTCTTTGCGATTTTTCGGTTATCCTATGTACCGTTAACTTTGATGTTTTTGTTTTTGCTGAAAAACAGACGAAACTGTCCGAGGGTTAAAATGAAAATTGCTTTTTTTCTAAACTATATGCCTTTATATGATTTTAAGTACAAACTTTTAGATTTTTATTCCGACAAAAATTTTATTTGACACTGAAAGGGTTAAAATATGAACCAATGCCAATTTAGAAAAAATACATATTGGCTCAAGAAAATACCAAAAATTGGACAGAAAGAAGTTTGCTATTTTATCTTCAAAAATTCAGAAATGCCTATTAATAGAAGTATCGCTTGTAAAATAAGAGAACAGCAGCCCAAAAAAGGCGGTACCTAGAGAAATATGAAAAGTTGGGAATTGCCCTCTAAGAACCCGAAATGTCAAATTACACGACTAATATTTCGAGCTTTGCTGTTTCTTTTCATGACTTTCTTTCACATTATAGATGGAACCTTTGCTATTGGATTGCCTGAGCTTTTGCCACTCGCGTCTGGGAGAAGTCGTTAAGGCCTCTACAAATCTGTCGTGCCTCAACGATTCGATTATCACTCGCCTGGCGGATATGTTTACAAATGTCGAATTGGAAATGGTGCGTGACAAAAAGGATCGTTTATTACCAAGGCTGTGGACGAAACTAATACAGAGTTTATGTGAACCAGAACCAGAGGCATTAAGGGGTCACTATTATAGTTTGGCTGGATTATTTCGTTGTTCCAAGTATGCAACATTTTCTATGCACAAAATTTTCAGAATTATTTTTTTTTATATTTCCGCGTGTTTTTTTTCAGATGCAATCGCTGCCTGACCAACACCATGAAAACCTATGTCCCTTGTATACAGGGTAATGTGCGGCTGAATCGTTGGGGTCAGCTGATAAGTCATCATGTTCGTGATACCATGTGGGATTTGAATTTATACATTGCCCAGTTATTTAAAGAGTTGAAATCATGGCGTCGTGTCTATTGGAAATTATGGGGTCATGCCCACTACCTGTACTGTTGTTTGTGCGAAATGTATTTTCCTGTTTATCAGGTACAGTGGGGTGCCATAATTAGAATTTTAACTCAGACTATTATGCATTTTCCAGATGTCTTGGTGTCGTTATCATCCTGAGGCGCCAACATTTCTGGGGCCGGTGACTGATGGTCGTACAACTGGCCCCGCTGGCCGTTATCCTTGCTGTGGTCAACAGGCATTTCGTTTTGAAACTTTACCGGGACCAAATGTAACATTTCGTAATCTTTGAGAAAAATGTGAATTAAAAAATATATATTTTTAGGGTTGTCAATTTCGTGAACATAGCGTTCTTGTGGAAACTGATCGTGAACGCTCCATTTTATCAATTGTTCAATTGGCCACTGAGGGACATGCTCTAGGTGATTGTCCTCCCCCGAAAATGTTGGAAACTATGGCGAGTGGAGAAACGGAATCCCGCTGGATGCTTTTATCGCTAATGCCGCAACGTTGCCGTCAAGGGCTATTGCCAGTCATAAATCCGGATGGTGAGTCCAAGAACAACGGTACCCATAATATTCGGTAATTTGATTATTTTAAGAGGTTTTCATGCGAGTCGGCTGTAACTTAGTATTTAGTATTCTCATAGGATAGGAAATCACCCTACCAAATATTATAAAAATTAACATAAGTTTTCGCGTAGCTCTCATATAACGGTACCCAACATTATTCGGCATTTAGGGATTTTGGATACGTTTTTCTGCCGAAAAGGTCATAAGTAAAATCAGGTCTTTCTACAAAAAATATAGCCCGCTAATAAGAGCTCAGATAGATTTTAGACAATTGAAATGACCACTTCATTACGAATATATAAAAAGTTCGGACCGATTGAACTTAACGGTGTCGTTCAAGAACCACCGGAGAGAAGTAATCTCGATCCTCGAACTTAAATTTCGATTCGGAAATTCAAGTTCGACTGACTAACTGTCTTAGAATGCCGGATGAGCGAAGAGGCTGATAAGATGGTGGAAGAAGTGAGCAAGCTAACAGCAAAATAGTAGCAGTAATCTAGGACACAGAAACGGAAACTGGCAGGAGGATCCGGAAAAACAAGAACGAACAGCAAACGGTTTAAGCTTCCAAGGTCTACCAAAAATTTGCCAAAACATAGCCCCCTATATAAAAGTCCAAATAGATTTTAGGTATTTTGAATGAGCACCTCATGATGGAGGATATAAAAAGTTCGGACCAAGAGGACTTAATAACGTCGTCATCGTACGCATCGCATTTTTTATACACAACTATGTTGTCAGGGTATTATAGCTTTGTGCAGCTCCAAAAGTTTGTAACGCCGCGAAATATTGGTCCTAGACCCACCTTTAAGTATACCGATCGTCATATCTCGACTAGCTGAGTCGATCTAGACATGTGTGTGTCCGTCCGTCCGTCTGTCCATTATAATTTGTAAACACGATACAGGCCACAGTTATGGACCAATCTTCACGAAATTTTGCATGTAGAATGGGTTCTGGCCAATGAAGACCCCTATTGTTTTTGGAAAAGATCTGTTAATATTTAGGGGATGAAATGGACCAAAAACTTTATTTTTGTCGGTTTTTCTGGTCGCTCCTGAGGCCGCAATTATGGCCCAAACACCGCGAATTTTTGCATAGAGAAGGGGATCGGGCCAATGAATAAGCATGCCTGTTTTGATAATGATCGGTCAATATTTGACTTTTGTGTGAAAAATGACAAAATTTGTATTCTATGGCGTATATATTTGCCCCTGAAGGACCAAGGCCTGAGAAGTTTATAGTGTGTTCAAGAGGATTAGTTGACCTTTAAATTGATACCAATTATATGGTCGTATGTACTCAGATGTGGGAGTTACACTTAAATATTTACAGGAGCTTACGTATTCAGACATTATTTAGTAACCCAATACCACACTAGAGGGCGGAAATATAGCGCTGATCGCTTTGAAATGTTCAATGAGGATCCAGGTATGGTCAGGGATATCGGGTATAATTTTTGGTGATGATCAGATCAAAATTTTGGGATGAAGTGGACCGAAAACTTAATTTTTGTTTATATTTTTTTCGAGACGATCTATAGGCCACAATTATAATCCGAACATCACAACACAAGGGGATCTGAACAAGTAATTGAAGAGTTGTACTCAATTTTGGGAATATTCGGTAAATATGTCAGTGTAAGGAAGAGGTGCTGTCGATCTTAAATCGGGCAAGAGGGTGCAATTATCACGAAATATTGCCCACGCTCAGAATAAACGTCGGCAGAAAGTTAGAGTTCCCTGGTAGTTGTGTAGGGTATCGTATGGTCGGCCCCGTCCGACTATACTGCTCACTGGTTTATAGATACGGGTGTCTTGGCATCTGGCTACGGGGCAAAAATGTATCTGAATTCAAGAACCAATCTCGATCCAACCTTCCTAGACAGGCGGGGTACTCGAATTCAAACTCGAGTCAGAAAATTCATGTTAGACCGATATAACTGTCTAAGACTGATAATATGATGGAAGAAATAAGTCTTGGAATGTGGTCTTCCAAATTGGTGGACTTGCGCACAAGACCGACGCGCTTGGAAATCTTTTTTAAGCTCGGCTTATGGAACAACCGTTCTGTAACAAGCCAGCTAAGTAAGTAAGTAAATAAGTTGGGTTATTGCCAAGCTCACGACAAGAAAGAAGGCACAAAGGCGGAAACTGATCAGGATGATCCGGAAAAACAAGACTGAACAGCAGACGGATTCCGAGCAGGACAAGACTGAGCTTCCTAGGAAGCGGCGAAAAGCAATTTGGGACACAGAGGCGGAAACATGTCAGGATAATCCGAAGAACCAGACGCAAACAACAGACTGATGCCCAGAACGATGAGTCTGACTTTTTTGCACTACCTAGGAAGAGGATTTGGTGTCCGGAAGAACGCCAAACCCGCAAAGAAGAAAATGAGCTTCCCGTTGGCTGATACAAAGAAAAAAATCTAAATTGAAGAGCAGACGGATGCCCAGAAGGATACGTTTGAGCATCCAAGGCAGCAGCGAAAAACAATTTGGAGCACAGAGGCGGAAACTGATTAGATGATCCGGAGAAACAAGACCTTACTAGGAAGCAGGAAGGCAATCTGAGATACAAAGGTGGAAACTGGCAGAAACATCCGGAGAACGAACAAACGAGAATGAAGAGCAGACTGATGCCTAGAATGAGGAGTCTAAACTTCCCTCCACTTCCTAGAAAGCGGCGAGGATGATTAGGTCTCCGGAAAATCTGACGAATGTCAAACTGGGACACAGAGGCGGAAACTGGCCGGAGAAACAACAGCGAATTGCAGACTGATGCCCAGGATGATGAGTTTGACTCTTCCACTTCCTAGAAAGCGGTGAAAAGGATTAGGTCTCCAGAAGAGCTGACGAACGTCTAAACTTCCCTCCACTTGCTAGAAAGCGGCGAAGATGATTAGGTCTCCGGAAAATTGACGAATGTCAAACTGGGGCACAGAAGCGGAAACTGGCCGGAGATGAGTTTGACATTGAAATTTCCTCCACTTCCTAGAAAGCGTGGAAAAGGATTGGGTCTCCGGAAGAGCTGACGAACCTACAAAGAAAAACAAAGGAGAACAGCAGACGGATGACCAGAAGGTTAAGTTTGAGCTTCCAAGGAAGCGGCGAAAAGCAAATTGGGAAACATAGGCGGAAACTGATCAAGATAAATCGGAAAAACAATACCTTCCTGGGAAGTAGGAAAGCAATCTGGGACACAGAAACGGAACTGCCCAGACTAAACCGGAGAAACAAGAGCGAATTGCAGATTGATGTCCAGAAGGATGAGTCTGATATTCCGTGCACTTCCTAGAAAGCGGCGAAGAGGATTAGGTCTCCGGAAGAGCAGACAAATATCAAAATCCGCAATGTAGAAATAGAACTTCCAGTCGGCTGATACAAAGAAGAAAATCATCTTACCCAAAGTTAAACGAGACTGCCTCGGGAATCCATCGACTGCGGCCGGCAGACTGGCTATAGTATCGAGCAGACGAGCGCTGTATCGGAATTTTCCATTTAGACCATGACTTCCAAAAGGACTAACCAAATTGTACAAAAGAGGAAGATTGTAGTAACAACTGGTAAGGATCCGCCATTTTATGGGAAAGAGGTACTACACAAGGAGGTTCTACAGAGTCGAGCCCTACTACACAGTAATCGACGAAAATAGTGTGTCCCATAAAGTGAAACAGGAACCTCATAAGGAAATGGTGGATGCGGTCAACAATTAGATGTTGGATCTACGAACGAATTTCACCTCAAACTGGTGAGGAAATGGGAATAACCTTAACTACAAAAGCCAAGTGTCTTCGTGGTTGTGCGGTTGTGGCAGCGAGCAAAAATAGTGCGACCTTTAAAGTGAAACAGGAGATTCTTAAGAAGGAGTTCGATGCAATCAAAGATAAAATATTGGATCACCAGCTGCAAGGAGGCAACCTTTCGATTTGTCCAGCTGCAATTCAAGGTGTATTATCTAATTCGACAAACGTAACAATCAAACTCAAGCTGGAGAGGAAATTTGACATTCCTCCATTACAAAAGGCAACTGTCTTCGACAGAGGTTGTGGCAGCGAGTTCACAACCGAACGCATGCTCGAAGTCGTTGGTCTGTAGAACAAGACACTACTTGTGAAGAAGTGGGAAGACTTTAACAGAGGAAAAAAAATTTTAATGACAACTATAGACAAGACTAGGTTTCCAACGCTGTCTTTTACCAAATTGTGTAGGCAAGGAAGACACAAAATCAGCTATTGTGTTATCTCAAGGGTAACAAACCTGCAGACAAAAATCTACCACGCACCCATATAAAGGTCTCGACCGATTATGTATTTTGAGTGGTATTTAAAATTCATATTTTATGTTCAACAATCTAATCATAATAATTATAAAATGCCATATCTGACCGTAAATAAAATAATCTTCATTTTCATTTTCTCAAGAATCCCACGGCCGCATTGCCAGACGTGTACGACCGGCATCATCGAAATTTTTCGCTGACTCTAGCACCGAAACCGAAAGTACCGACAACACTTTGGAAAATCTAAGAGCCAATTCACGTAAATTTGGATTAGGTGATTATGGCAGCAGTTTTTCGACGAGTAGCAGTGATGGTTGTGAATCATCCGATAGTAAAATTACCGCACCGAAAAAGACTTACAACAAGAAGAATAATCGAAAGAGGTAACAATGAAATAAATCGATTAACAATATGTGATTCCACATTTTTCGTTAACCTACAGCAAACAACCTTTAAATCCTGGTCGCTATTGGTCCGGCGAATTGTCGGCACGCAGCAATCAAGATAATCAACGCGAGTTCGAAGAGAAGGTAATGAAACAGGTTATTGCGCTGGTGCGAAAAAAGAATGGCACCGATGTCAATGTCAACAAACCGAACCGGCCATTGGGTGGCATCTATGTTAAATTGGAACAGGAATGGAAGGACCAGTTGAAACAACGTTTCTACAACAACAACAACAACAACTCGACGGGGAATACGGCCAACAACGCTCAGGGGAATGGTAATAACTGCGGTGGCAGTATGACATCATTGTCGGTAAAGGCTTCACGTAAAAAGGCAGACAATGCCAATGGTGGTGGCGGTGGTCAGTAGAGTAGCCAACAACAAAAGAAATGCATAACTAATTATGTTAAATAAATTAAAGCATATACATAAATAAATAACGCTATTCCCGCCAAAAAGTTGGTTTTTTATAAACCATTGGTGGCTCATAATCTCTTAAGAAATTCTTTAAAAAATATATTATTCGGAAAATTATTATATAGCCATAGGATAAGTTTTTGAGTTATTGCAGGTCATTTTTCAAATTCAGATCTTTAGTCAAATCAAATGAGCAATATTTTTGTAAAAAGTATCCTAATTCCATGACGACGAGTCCTTGTGTATCTTTCTCTTTCTCACACCTACACAAGAATTCATTAGCAGCAGTATAGGGTTTTGGGGCCATCACTGCAAATGTCATCAAAACATTTCAATGTTGAATAGTTCAAACCACAAAATCAATGATTCAAATCAATTACTTTAATTTCCAAATAATTTTTTTTTCTATTTTTTATTTGATATAATTTCTATCAATGACTCAGCGAGGCATGACATTTATCAAAAAAAGAAATAAATTATTAAATCTATTTTTAATTGGAATTTTTGTTTTCATTTAAATACATTTTCGGATACCTTTACAAACAAAAACACTCCCCCACAGTTGAAAGTTTTGCCGAAAAACTATTAGAATGAATAATTATATTTCAATAATACCATCAAAGTTCACCGAAAATTATGAAAAAAAAAACAATCTGCAATAAATCATTGTTTTAACAACAGCAACAAAATTTGAATTTCAAATGAGACCACAAAAGAAGATAAATTATTCAGCAATTATGCAAAATCAAATCACAGCTCATGACATTTATCGTCATATGCTGTTATTTGTTTTTATTTTTATGTTGTATACACACTTTAACATAAAATATTGATTAATTTATGTTTAAATTTTAAATGTGACAATTGTTCCGAGTATCGATATATTATATATACTTTTTTATAAAATATTATGATAATATGATACAATTTTAAGGAAAAATAAAATATATAATTATTAAAAATTTGACCACTATGACAATGTCCAGTGGCCGGTAGCGACAAGACCAGCGCCCATGTGTTCGGACGGTTAACGTTAGGGACCTTCATCAACATCGGTCTATGCTACGGTAAATTTTTATACTCTCAGCCTTATGAGGGTATATGGGAAATTACAAAATTCCTTTAAATCAGTTGAAATCAGTTGATGTCATGAGGTTTTCATATATACCGAATCAATCTCTTCCAATAATTATGCATTTTTCGAGGTTTCATTAAGAGGTCAAGTGTGCCGCTCGATGCACTTTACTGTGCAAAAACCCAAAAAATTACTAAAAATCCGATTTCAGTAATCTCATATGAAAATACACAAAAGGACACCTTTTTTAAAAGGATCGGTTAAGAACCGCGGATGTGCCTCCACGATCGATTTTGGATAAAATACGCATATTATTCGCGTATCGATATATTTTTGACCTATTTTCACACAGGTTCGCGAATATGATAACACAAAAATGAATGTATGTGAAATCAATTCGAAGAAAATCGCGATTATTTACGCGAATTTGTGGAAATAAGTTTTTGCAGTTTTTCCTACATTCAAGGTATCTATATCCGCCGTTTTATTGGGCGGAATTGAACATGGATTAGATCCGCCACGTAAAAAAAAAACTAAAATCACACGGGGTTCCACGGAATTTGAATGGACTTTCTTCATTTTAGACTCAAAAAATATGTTTTTTATAAAAATTTACGCACCAAATTTTAGTCTTTGGAACCCAATTGCAAAGAACGTACGGTGAACACATGCATGAGATATACACTAAACGAAGCAAAATCTCGAGTTCTACAATCCAATAATTAGTTTAGTCCATTATCTGGATGAGCGTCCTAATTATAAGAAAAATTCAAAAAACAACGAAAATCCGGCTTCAAAATGTCTGCATCAGTTTTGGGTGAATGCAGTGATTGTATCGAAAAAGCATGCATTAGAACCATATTGTTCATGGGATATTCTACAACATAGTCACTGATCACATGTGCGTGCGTTATGCAGTTTAGCCACAAATCAGGTAGGAACACAAAGAAACTCGTTGGCTTCAACACATTTTCACCCATTTTTTTACATTACCACCATCATAGCTTTCACGCAACTTTTTATTTATTACCAATATTTTCAGATTTTGACAAGAACACTACATTTTATAGAAATGAATTTAAATTATATGCAATATGTTCATATTTCGCGAGTTATAACCTTGCAAACCTCAGTTTCAAGGAATTTAAAAGATTTTTGTAATTTCCCATATATACTTTGATACGGTGAAAATGAAAATGTGTCTCATCGAAATATTGGTTTTAGAATCCATGTTTCTGCCGTCTGTCTGTCTGGCTGGGAACTCTCGAAGGGAATAGACGATTTAATCCAAACTTTGCATATCCTAATATTTCGTCCACACTTAGTTTCGAAGTTCGAAGATGGGGATTATCGGTCCACTCCTTATGGTACCTCCCACACAAAGTCAAAATTCTGGTGAAATTTAATTTTGTAATATCATGCGAGTTTGGTTCAAATCGAATAGTCCGATTTGAACCAAACCTTACACAACCTATTACCTTTACCAAACCTAGATCAAGTCCGAAGTGGGCATCCATTGGCCCACTTCTTCTGGTACCACCCCCGCAAATGGTCAACATTTTCAATATCTACAAATCCAATATCAGGCGAATGAAATGTCCGATTTGAAGTATACTTTGCACAACCTTTAAACTTTACTCAGCCTAGATCAAGTCCCAAAATGGGATCTATTGGTCCACTTCTTCTTGTACCTTGATTGAACCAAACTTTGCACAATCTATTATCTTCACCAAGTGTAGAAAAAGTCCAAAGATGGGACTCATTGGTTTACTCCTTCTGGGGACCACCCTCACGAAAGTGTCATCATTTTCAATTTTTATATATCAACATTATTTATTTATTTTTATATATTTCTTGTTTTTTTATTATTATTATCAATATCAGGTGAAGGCACTATTCGATTTGAACCAAACTTAATACAAATTACTGTCTTTACCAAGCCTAGATCAAGTCCGAATATGGGACTAGTTGGTTCCCTCCTTCTTTTATGTCCCTTACACAAGGCGAATATTTTATGAGCATGTGAATTTAGTTTAAAGCTAAATGAATAATCGATTTGGTCGACATTAAATCCCAGATCTATTGGTTCACCCAAAATTCAAATTGTACCAAATTTAGTACACATAATAGCGAATTTCCAAACTACCAACATACCTCAATTCTACAAAGCAGTAGTAATCTTATTTCGAAATTTCGGGATTCTAGCTCCATCCGTTTCTCCAAATTCAATTTGTACCAAATTTAGTACAGTTTGGTACTTTTCGTAAAAGTGAGTACACGCTATAAAACCACCTCCTTATATCGACTCTACTTCTTAACCTTAATTCGCCTTTAAAATTTAAATTTTTAAACCTATCCATTCACATGCTATGAAATTGTACCAAATTTAGTACATTTTAATACTTTTCGGGTATTTATAGTTCCAATGTTCAAAACCCCTTTGCTACATCTATTCTACATTCCATCAATGACTCTAATTTTCAACTTAAGAGTTCTAGCTCTATCGGTTCGCCAAATACAAATGATACATTTAGTACATATTGTTTTTCGTGCCGTTATAGTACGAGTTTCTAAAAACCCAGCCTTAGCTGACACCTTTGGACCAAAAGTGACAATTGCAGACATTTTGGTTGAAAAACATGCCCAGAGTCCATAAGAGGCGTTATGAGGTCGACCCTAAAAAGTGGACAAATTCTCATAACATTTGCTACACTATGAGATCTCTATACACCAACTTTGGGAGCAGGGGTTTATATTTAAAACATGGACCCCACAAGTTTTTGGGACCAAATGTCGACGTATCAGATAATTTTGAGTTGACATAGAAATGTATTTCCTTCTCTTTGTCTGACTGGAGAGGTGCGCTTCATAACTCTCGAAGAGAACACCTTAAGTGGGCACTCAAAATAGATGGAACCCATTGATCCCACCTCCCACATTTTCAATATTTATAAGTCCAATATCAGGCGAATGGAAAGTCCAATTTGCACAACCTATTATCTTTACCAACCCAAATGGCCTACACCTTAAAGTGGGCATTCAAAATACCTAAAAACAAAGTCCAAAATTCAAAATTATCTGTCAATATGTATTTAATCATCTGAGAAAACAAAATCCTTAATTACAGACACTTCTGTTGGAAACTTCGGCTAGAAATTTTATCGTACCGAATATAGGGTGGGAAATTTATATGGAGGCTATGTAAAGAACATGACCTAATATTGAGTATATTCTGCAATAGTTTTTTTATTTTACTCACCACAAACTAGGAACGGTAAATTTCAGTTTCTTCGTTTTCAAGATGTATCTAGGACAACATAATTCCTAAAATTGGATGCGGACGTATAATTACAAAGATATTTTCCTCCTGCAAGCACTTTGGTTGCCAAATTACAGTTACCTCAGTTGGAAACATCGGCTAGGACCTTCAACATACCGAGTTTTGCACGTGCTTTTTGGGGTATATGTCAAAATATGAGCATATTGATTTTTTTGCAAAATGTCTATATAACGATCTTTATACCCTCGGGACAATTTCATACTTCAGCAAAAGCTATTTGCCTTTTTACGTTTTTTGGCCTACGGCCATTTTATTGATTCAAATTTTACATTTATTATAGGATAAACGACTTAAGCCTAACTTATTTCATAACTTATCATGCACTTATTTGCACAGCTTACTTCCCAACATGAGCCCTCCCTTATGCTTCAACTGTATGATAGATCTTCTCCAAACACACATATTTGTATGTACATTTTTTTATCAGGTCAGATCTACAACCTAAATATTGACTACCATGAAATGGTCTCATCCTTAATGGTCACTTATTATCGCCTAAAGAGCCCAGCAAAAATTCAGAAATTCTCACTCAACTGAAAGCCGGAATTGTGCCGTTTTTTTAATACCTACTCACCTATACACAAATACGTTGGGGATGAATACAAGTGTTGTTAACAATGGTGTTGCTATAAAACTTTATGAGAACTACCAAAATTAAACCTAAACCATAGCATTTTCAAAAAACAAAAGAAAAGAAAAAAAAAAACAATCAAGATTCACATGAGCCTAGCCCATATTTAGCATCTTCAACTCGAAATGTAGCGACAACAGCGGACAAGCCATAAAATGGCTCAAATTTGTTGTTGGAGAGGAAATAATGTGATACAAAAATAACAACAACAATGAGATGTCGGCATAACCCGGATTGCTGTAAAATGGCATCGCTGAATGAACGAACGAATGAATGAATGGCTGCCGGGTTAACTTTTATTGACCACAGCACCAATGAATCGCTATAAATTGTTCGATCACAGCAATGTTCGATATTAATTCTTAACCGAATCTAAAAGAGGAAACACCTCCAGCACCACCACCACACCAACTTATTGCAGAAATCATCAACCACAACATGGCCAAATTGGTAAGTATCGAATATTTGTTGGTTCGGCTGTCTGTCAATGACAACCATCAATGGGAATCGAATATTTAAACTAAAAACTGTCGCATCGTAACATTATAATACACCAAACATATATGTGCATGTGTATGTATGTTAGTAAAATCTACATTGTAGACTGACACTGGCATTGTTTGGTATATTCGAATAATTGTTTTTGAGGTTTTTGTTCAGTTACACCACATTTAATGCCATTCCATCTCTTTGTTGCTTCCCACAGTTCATTTGCTGTCTTGCCGCATTGTGTGCCGTAGCTGTGGCCCGACCCGATCAATATGATGCCGCTGCCGAGACACGCAGCTTCTCCGCTGACATTAAAGAGGATGGCAGCTATCAATATCAATTTGATACCACAAATGGCATTGCCGCCCAAGAGTCTGGAGTTGGTGGTTACTATGCCAGTGGCTCATCGGCCTACTATGCTCCAGATGGCCAATTAATCACCTTGACATATACGGCTGATGAAAATGGTTTCCAACCATCCGGTGATCATTTGCCCACACCACCACCAATCCCCAATGCCATTCTTAAGTCTTTGGAATACATTCGCACTCATCCCCATCAAGAGGAAAGACAAGGTGGCGCCCAAGTCAAACGTTTCCAACCTGGTCAGATTTATTATAATAAGAATTGATTTTTGTTGTGGCTTCATGGTGTCCTCTGATTAGATTTAGGGTTTTCCCCCAATCCATCTCCCATCCAACCACCTACAGTCCATCCTGTTTATATCCCATCCATCCAAACAACAAATATCCAAATAAAGACTTTATTTGTCCAGCCATTGTTACATGTTATGAAAAAGAAAAGAAAAAAAAACAAATTAAAAAAACACATAAAATAAAAAATAAAAGTATTAAAGAAATAAATACAATTATTTTGTTTTTACTAGCCGAAATTGTAAAAAGAAATATTTTTAAGTAGATATTCGAGGATACACTATCCCTTTTAGAATTTGTACCAAATCTGTTTCAGACTATTTGGAGTCGATTTTGAAATGACCGTCTGTGATGCGTAAGATAAATTAAGAAGGAGGACCAAGTAACCCTGCACATCAATATTCTTTTTAAATTTGGATTATGTTTGAAAATGTGATAGCTCTACCAAATAGCGCAATTTTTGAAGAAACCCTAAAATATAATGTCATGCGATGGGTCCTTTTGGTCTACTCCAACTAGAACTTTTTTGGGATTGTATCTGGAGAAATTTATGTGAGTACTTGCCATTTGGCCTACTTTACAGTGGCTGAGCCACAGGCGGAATTATGTCCACCAGCGCACCAGCACCGAAGTGCTGTATCAATTGGAGAGCATACAGAAAGCACACTCTCCCTCTTTGGAGTGGTGAAACCACAACCCCCGCGAAGCTCCCCAGGAGGCCACACCAACTTTTAGGCTGGATCGACAGATCCAGGGGCACCCGCTGTACGGATAACGTTCGATCAGACTCAATATCGAAGCCTCTCCCAGTTTGGCACATGTCCGGGCGGGTATCCCAATACAAAAACAGACGACACAATGCACTTACCGCGTTTCCGCAGCAGCAACCACGCAAATGGCAAGTAAAACACTGCCACTGGAAGCAACAACGATGAACAAGAACACGGAATACAAAGAATTAGCATGCTGTCCTCACGAACTGCAACAAAGGGCCCAAATGACCGCGGCAACGGACAACGATGCACAAACTTTAAAAATCCGCCCTAACAGACGGCCTTTATAACATGCAAATGAGGTTGGAACCACGTGAAAACAAGTTGAAACCATGAAAAAGCCCACGACGCATGTTCATAAAAATATGAACATGAATCTTTCTTTTATCTTGTCTAGCTTAGAAGAAGTAATAAAATAATTAAGTGTCTTAGATAATAAATTGTAATGTAGATCTGTCATAAATGTTATTGCTTATTTGCTATGAATTTTAAGATAGAATTTTCAATGTTATCAATTTCCAAGAAGTCATTAAATCCATATGTGGTTTTCCCAGCCATTAAATCCATATGTGAGTTTCCCAGCCATTAAATCCATATGTGTAATCTTCATTGATCATGTACACTGGTGCATACGATAAGTTTTATGATAATAAAGGTTGTGACCCACGCACGCACTTATCTATGCACACAGTAGGTAGAGAAGGTCACTGGATTAAGAAGGAAGAGATAAGAATTATTATTAGGTTGCATTAGGCTAAGCTCGAATAACATATGTAGCTCTTAAGGACAATATTTTTTAAATAAAATCAGTACTCAACCAACATCCAAGCCGGCAACATCTTTTATTAATACGCGCGTAAACAGTGGTCCTTCGAAAGAGAAAAAAAAGAATCAGTGACCGGAAAAGTGTGCACATAAAAAAAAAATCTAATTTAAGAAAGAATTCTATTTGAAAAAATAACTGTGGAAGCCACATTGAAAAGAATATTACCAAAAAAAAAAATATATATATAATTTAAGAAAGAATTCTATTTGAAAAAATAATTGTGAAAGTTACAGTGAAAAGAATATTATACAAAAAAAAAACAGAAAATAGTGACGAATTAAGAAACAAGGATATTATCCAATAGAAAAAAAAATATTATAGTGAAAAAAAAAGTTCATAAAATTAAAAAGCCAAAGAGGCTAAGAAATTAGAATATATACAGAATATAGCGGAAAATTGGAAACAGAAGAGCTTAAATCAATAAAGGTAAAACTATTAAAGAATAATAAACTGTAGAAAGAGAAATTAGTCAAAAAGACTTTAAGACGAAATAAATTTAAGAAAACCGAGAGGCCTAAAGGCAAATATTAAAGTAAACCAATTATTAATCCAAAGAAGCAAATAAAAATGTCAGCAGAAAGATATACCTTATATAAAACCCAAAATCAAATCCTCAAGGAAATATTAGAGATTTCAGAGAAGCTGAAATCGGGAACGACTAGGAAGGTTGCTTTAGAAGCAAATTCAAAGTCGCTGGAGAACAAAATGCAGGAAGCCAGGACAAATCAAGCGAAATTAGAATTATATGACAACAAACGAATTTTATTCACGAAATTGATTGATAAAATTTTGGATCACCCGAATATAAACAGCCTATCTGCAGCAAGCATACGAAATTTGGTAGATAGCGTTAACGAAAGCATACATGCGTTGAGAGCAATGGGTATACCGTTGGAACATGCGGACCCTATAATAGCCAGAATAATAATAAGGAAATTGGATAAAGATGGACTCATTCAATATGAGCAGAACGTCAAAAAATCAAAGGAGATCCAAAAACTTGAAGATGTAATGGACTTCTTAGAACAGCAATACCAAGCCTTGGAAGCATCAACGAGCAAAAAATATGCTGTTTCAGCAACGTATAAAAATCAAGATAAATCCGGAGGGTTGGAAAAGAGGCAATGCAGGTTTTGTAAGCTGATTGGACATGAAGTTGTGGCTTGTAGAAAATTTGCGGCACAACCGGCAAACGATAGATTTAGTTGGGTGAAAGCAGCCCAAATGTGCCTCAGATGTATTAAGCACTCGAAAGACAAAAGATGCCTGAGTGATTCCAAATGCCAGAAGTGTGGATTACAGCATAACACATTAGTCCACTTGGAAAAAACAAGCAACACAAAATCCATGACCACACATGCAACAACAAATGTTCTTCTTGCTACAGCTCAAGTTCGAGTCAAATCTTGGTATGGAGAATATATCACTTTAAGAGCCTTGATAGATCAAGGATCACAGATAACTTCTGTATCCGAAGATGCGGCGCAGTTGCTACAATTACCAAGATCAAGGACTGAGGTAAGATTACGAGGTCTAGGAGATACCATGGTGGGCGTTGCGAAATCTAAAGTATTGCTGAAGATAAGGCCGAGATTTTTCAGCAACAATAAAATTATAACGGAAGCACTAGTCTTGCCGAAATTAGCATCAGCTCATCCTGACAACAATTTCCATTACGACTTGGAGAAATGGAAAAACATAACTCTAGCAGATCCAAATTTTTATAATTCTGAAAGAATCGATCTGGTAATTGGAGCGGACCTTTTCCAACAAATATTGGAAGAAAGTGTTCGCCATGAAGAGAAGATAGTGGCACAAAATACAAAACTAGGATGGATTCTTTCCGGAATAATTCAGATGAAATCCGGAGGAAATAACGTGAGATCAGCTGCGACGACGACAATAGAACGGTTTTGGGAAATAGAAGAGATTGAAGATGAAGAAACGATAGCAGAAGATGATTACTGTCTAAAACTATATGAGGAAACAACACGAGTCGATCAAGCGGGAAGATTTGTAGTGCGATTGCCATTTGCTGAAGACAGACGTTTGGGAGAATCATATAAAAGAGCAATGGCGAGATTTTTAAGTCTAGAGAAAAGATTAGAAGGATGTCCGAAATTGAAAGCAGAATACATAAAAACAATAGATAATCTAATTACAACTAAACACATGGTGAAAGTAGAAAAGAGAAAACAAGGAAAATATTATATGCCGCATCAAGCAGTGATACGTGAAACCAGCTTAACCACAAAAGTAAGAGTGGTGTTTGATGCATCGTCGAAAACATCAAATGGAAAGTCGCTGAATGACATTATGCATACAGGTCCAAAGTTGCAAAAGGACATATTTGATATTATTACCAAATGGAGAACTTGGAGATTTGTCATATCAGCCGATGTAGAAAAAATGTTTAGACAAATAAACATAGACAAAGAAGATCAAGAATACCAATATGTCCTGTGGAGAAATAACAAGAGCGAGCCAGTGCAACAATTCAAACTCACCACAGTGACATATGGCACCGCATCAGCACCGTTTTTGGCTGTAAGGACGCTGATAGAAATTGCAAATCGATGCGAGAATCAAGATATAGCCAAAAGAATAAAAGAAGATTTCTACATGGACGATTTACTTACAGGAGCGAATTCAAAACTAGAATGTATGGAAGTACAAGAGAATATAGCTCAACAACTGGAAATGTATGGGTTCCATTTAAGAAAATGGATAGCAAATTCTTCGGATATATTGAGAGCTGTAAATCGGGCTGAAGAAAATGAAGTATTGCAAATTCAAGAAGATAACTGCTTGAAAACGCTAGGATTGCAATGGAGTCCACTGATGGATTGCTTTACATTCAGTATGGAAGTAAAACAGGAAGACAAGGTGACCAAACGAATGGCGTTATCAAGTCTAGCGAAAATATTTGATCCACTGGGTTGGCTGACACCAGTAACCATAACAGCAAAACTATTTATTCAGCAGTTATGGATCCAGCAATTAGATTGGGATATACCGTTGAATGGAAAATTGAGTGATGACTGGAAGAAATTTGCGTATAGTCTCCACGTAATTAAGAACGTGAAGATACCAAGATGGTTTCAAATAGCACCAGTCAGTGGAGTAGAGCTACACGGGTTTGCTGATGCGTCCGAAAAGGCATATGCGGCAGTAGTTTATCTAAAAGTGGATTCTCAAATTGCAATCGTGGCTGCGAAGAGCAAAGTTAATCCTATTAAAAATACCAAGACCCTCCCAAAATTGGAACTAAGTGCTGCCCACCTCTTGGCGAAACTGCTACAAAAAATAAAAAAAGTATTATCATCAGCGGCGGCAATTTATGCTTGGAGTGATTCCATGATTACGTTGGCATGGATAAACAACCCAAAAAATAAAGATAAATTTATTAGAAACAGAGTAGTGGAAATTATGGAACGAATCCCTAAAGCGAAATGGGCTTACGTTAGATCAAAAGAAAATCCAGCTGACTTAGGCTCCAGAGGCGTTGCTCCTGAGATTTTGGCCAACTGTCAATTATGGTGGAAAGGGCCGGAATGGCTGATAAAAAATGAAAATGAATGGCCCAAGTTAAATCCGACAGTAGTGGCAGCAACGACAAAAATTGCGGCAGTAGAAAAAAGCGTCTATGAGCAACTTATGAAGTTGTCATCATTTAAAAAGCAGTTACGAGTCATGGCTTATATTCTACGATTTATTAAAAAACTGAGAGGAAATAAGGTAAAAGGTGAGCACTTAACTGCGGAAGAAATAGAAGAGGCCGAAATTGCTTTAATCAAAATGCACCAAGAAATTGAATGGCCGGCGGAAATTAGTCAGCTAAAAACTTCAGGAGCAATAAATCATCGAAGCAATATAGCATCATTGCATCCGCAGCTCGACGAATATGGGGTTATGCGAGTAGGAGGAAGACTGGGTTGGTCAGAGCTAACCTATAACGAAAAGCATCCAATACTGATTCAAAAATCACGATTAGCTGCGAATATTATAAGGAGAGCTCATATGGAAACATTGCATGGAGGAAATCGGCTGATGGAAAATGTTTTAAGGCGCAAATATTGGATAATCGGAGCCAAAAATAGAATAAAACTCTGCGTCAGGTGCTGTCCACGATGTACGCGCTATAGGGGAGAAGTACGAAATCAGTTAATGGGAAATCTACCAAGGAGTAGAGTGAATATAAGTCAACCCTTTCAACATTGCGGAATAGACTACGCGGGTCCGTTTCAAATACGATGTTCGAAAACGAGAGGAACCAAGTCTATGAAGGGTTACGTAGCAGTATTTGTGTGCATGGTGACGAAAGCGGTGCATTTAGAGGCAGTTAGCGAGCTTACGGCAGAAGCATTTTTAGCAGCGCTGAGAAGATTCTTCGCAAGGAGAGGAAAATCAAGCGATTTATATTCCGACAACGGAACGAACTTTGTCGGGGCATCAAGGCAGCTAGATAAAGATTATATAGAGGCGATAAAAAGCAACAATACGTTAGCGCCAATTCTGGAGAATGAACAAATAAAATGGCATTTTATCCCCCCGGCAGCTCCTCACTTCGGAGGAATTTGGGAAGCTGCAGTTAAGTCAATGAAATACCATCTTAAAAGAATCATTGGCGAGATAAAATTAACGTATGAAGAGATAAGCACGGTTCTAGCTCAAATTGAAGCAGTTTTAAACTCAAGGCCGTTGCATGATCTTGGAAGCGGCACAGACTATATCGACACCTTAACGCCAGGGCATTTCATAGTTGGACGCCCGTTATTAGAAGCTCCGGCGAAGATCGATGAAGGAAGTTTAGCATGTGTGAGCAGGTGGAAACTGCTGCTACGAATAAAAACCCACTTTTGGAGAAAGTGGAAAGAAGAATATTTGACTACTTTGCAAAATCGCCCAAAATGGAGAAAAGAAGATCGCAATCTGGAAGTGGGACAGATCGTGCTGATCAGAAATGAAGAGACTCACCCAGCTCGTTGGCCATTGGCGAGAGTGACTGAGGTACAACCGGGCAAAGATGGAATAGTGAGAGTAGTTACGTTGAAAACACAAAATGGAGAAATAAAAAGACCAGTACATAAATTATGCCCATTAGAGCACGAAGATGAGAGACCTGAAGAGGAAAAGGTAGAAGATACGCTGAAAAAGGAGGTCGAAGTGAACTCAACAAAGAAGTTACCAAGATTAACAGCAAATTCCTTTATGATATGGACTATGATGATAAATCTTTGTCTGATTATGACGACTAAGGCCTCATCAGTAAAAGAATTAAATAGTTCGACGGCAATATATCTTGATCCAATCTCTCAAATCCACATGGCCTCGTCTTCATGGAACATGATTGTATATTTTGAAATGAAAACGTACTTAGAAACACTGGATCTTGCATCCACATTGCTCAACGCCTCTAAAGAAATATGTCCAAGGCTCCAAACATTTGAAGACCAGTGCTGGTCGGTAATAAACAATATGGAATATAAAGTAAACAAAATCAAGGCGAATAATCGGCTTTTCATGAGGGATGATAAACGGCAAAGAAGAGGAGCCCCATTGAAGTTCATAGGGTCTTTTCAACATTGGGCATTTGGTGTGATGGACGACGATGATCGTGTGGCGATGGAAAATAATATGAGAAATCTGTTAGCCAACCAGTACGACTTAAAAGAATTGTCAAAAAAGCAGACATCGATAGTTGATTCCACGGTCAATCTGCTAAAAAGAACAACGGAGGAAGTCAATTCGCACTTTGTGGAGATAAAGTGCAAAATTGATAACATAACCGCCACCATGAACGAAAATTACTTCGTGTATAGAGAATCTATTCGTTTCTTTATTATAACTAAAGAAATCCATGAATACATAGACGAATGTGACGATGTGCTAAAGGAAGTCATTAACCTGTTACTGGACATTAATAATGGTCATATACACCCTGTGCTCATCAGTCCGGAGAAATTGCAGTCGGAAATATTTAAAATTCGAAATGAGCTACCCACGAAATATGTTTTACCCGGAAAATCTTCTGGTACAGAACTTAAGGAGGTTTTACATTTGATGAGGGGACGTGGAATGTACATCGGCACACAATTGGTGATCGACTTGAAGATACCTCTTTTCAACAGACAGTCATCGCAGTTCTATAGAGTAATCCCGATTCCATTTGAACATGACGGTGCGGTATTGATAGCAAGGATAAGGTCGCCATACATCGTGTACAATTTTGAATTGGATTCGTTCCACTATCTGACACAAGTCATGTTGAACGAATGTAAAAACACATTGGGAGATGAAATTGTATGCGAAGAAAATTTTCCCTGGCGAGATGCGTCGACCAACAATTGCGAACTGTCACCCCTGAGGCCGCGCATCGAGATAAACTGCACGTACGATGAAGTTGAAAGCAGTTCCTATTGGATACAGCTGAGGCAAAAGGGAAATTGGCTTTTTAAGACGTTTAAGAATGCAACGGCTCATATTAAGTGTTCCGAAAAGCAGCAATCCATCATAGAACTTCCACAACAAGGTATTCTAGCCCTTGATACAGATTGCACGGCTAGAATTGACAAAGTGACTCTAGTGGCGGTCCATCAGGTAAGAAATGAAATGTCAACTCAATTTCACTCTATTCTTTTAAAGGACGTCAGTGAAGCCGACAAAGAAGCCATAAAACCCCTTGGAAACGTATTGGTGAAACATCACAATGAGATCAGCCAGCTAAAGACGCTCGTGGACGATTTGAAGAAGCAGAAACTAAATTTAAGAGGTTTAGAATTTCATAATTGGTCTGGTCACATGTCATTTATTTTAGTTACCATAGTAGTTATAATGTTGCTAACTCAGTTTATAAGGAAAATTATAATAAGGAGACGGATAGCAGCAATTCAGTTCCAAGGAAGGCCGAATGTTTAATAAAGTATCTGCCGGCCGGGAGAATGTTCATAAAAATATGAACATGAATCTTTCTTTTATCTTGTCTAGCTTAGAAGAAGTAATAAAATAATTAAGTGTCTTAGATAATAAATTGTAATGTAGATCTGTCATAAATGTTATTGCTTATTTGCTATGAATTTTATGTACTTAAGATAGAATTTTCAATGTTATCAATTTCCAAGAAGTCATTAAATCCATATGTGGTTTTCCCAGCCATTAAATCCATATGTGAGTTTCCCAGCCATTAAATCCATATGTGTAATCTTCATTGATCATGTACACTGGTGCATACGATAAGTTTTATGATAATAAAGGTTGTGACCCACGCACGCACTTATCTATGCACACAGTAGGTAGAGAAGGTCACTGGATTAAGAAGGAAGAGATAAGAATTATTATTAGGTTGCATTAGGCTAAGCTCGAATAACATATGTAGCTCTTAAGGACAATATTTTTTAAATAAAATTAGTACTCAACCAACATCCAAGCCGGCAACATCTTTTATTAATACGCGCGTAAACACGCCGGAACTGTTGGAAGTAGAACTCTGAAGTTTGGTATACTGTTGACAATAATAATCCAAAGGGCATGTGTGAAAAAATTGGAATGTAATACTAAGAGGTACTAAAAAGTACTAAATAATATATTTGAATAGAACTAGTAGAGATACTTATCTGAAAATTGATATGTAGCTATTACAAATAGAATGTTGTAAAAAATAGTTTTGGAAATTAGTAGGGGAGTGGAGTGGCTAGCAAAGTGCCCGCTATATATGGAAATCTTCGTATGCGGAAAGGGAATACAAAAAATATTTCATATGGTATCGTAAATACTGTAAATTTGTTGTACTATAGTTTGCGATTTAGTACTCTTCATACACATAAGCACTATTTTCCGAAATCTCTCTTACTTCCATTAAACAGATTAAAACCAGTAAGGAAAGTAGTAAAGTACCCCATACAAAATTTCGTGCAAGTCGAAAGATATATAGGGACTTTGGTACACCATTTACATTAAATCGGACGAAGTTATATATGGGAGCTATATCTAAATCGGAACCGATTTTCACGATGTTCAACACACTTCGTTCTAGACGTAATTCAGCCCGCTGTGCCTAATTTCGTGTAAATCGAAGGATATATAGGGAGTTTGGTGCACTATTTACCTAAAATCGGACTAAAATATATATGGGAACTATATCTAAATTGAACAGATTTTTCCCAATTTCAATAGGGTTCGTCCTTGGGCCAAATATGTGATGTATGCCAAATTTCATCCAATTCGGATCATAAATGCGACCTGTACTCTGTTTACAAATTAAGATGGACAGACAGACGGACATGCATAAATCGACATAGAATGTGATTCTATGCATTAGTGCATTTGCTATTCTATTTACTATTCGTACAAATCAATCAAAATCAATTCGAGTTTCCATAGTTATCTCTATAGCCAAATACTGCACTTCAACAGTAATCTAAATTCCAAATCGCAGGATCCAAGCAAATCCAAATGGTTCCAAATATAGTACCATCATACTTAGAAGTAAGAATTTCCACAACTACATCAAATTTAATTCCACCAAAGTTTTGCAACTTTCGGGATTCGAATTCTACCCGTTCACCAATGTCCAATTTGTACCAAATTTTGTGCTTTTCGTACCCATAAGTACGAATTTCCAAAACTACCCCAGTCATGTTCTCCAATAATAACCTTTAGTCCACATTTAAGGATTCCAGCTCTATCCGTTCACCACACTCCAACAGTAATTTTAATCATAAATTTCAGGATCCCAGCCCTATCCGTTCACATAAATCCAAATTGTAGCATATTTAGTACCATTTAGTACTTTTCGTACTTTAAGTTTGAATTTTCAACACTGTCTCAATCCTGTACTCTAACAGTAATTTTATTTTCAAATATAAGTTTTTTATCTCAATCTAAATAAACTTAGTACCATTTAGTACACATAATCATGCATTTTCAAAACTACCTCCATATCTCAATCCTACACTCCACCCTTAATTTTGATTCCAAATTTTAGGGTTCCCGCTCACACAAAACGAATTGTACCCTATTTAGTACCACTTAGTGCTTCTCGTATCCAAGAGTACGAAATTCCAATACTACCTTAATTCTGTGATTTGCATTCTAAATTTAAGTTTTCCATCTCTATCCATTCACTCTGATCTAAACTGTACCAAATTTAGTACCATTTAGTACACGAAATGACAAATTTTCAAAACTACCGACATATTTCAATCCTGCACTCCAACAGTAATATTAATTTAATCAAAATTTCAGGATCTCAACCCTATCCATTGGTACCATTTAGTACTTTTTGTTTCTATAATTAAACTACGTCAATCCTACACTTCAAAAGTAATTTTAATTCCAAAATTCTGGAGTCCAACTCTATCCACTTAATCAAGTTGTACCAAATATAGTACCATTTAGTACACATACGTACTATGCTTCCATACCTTAATTCTATATTCTAAAAGCAACCATTATTCCAAATTTTAGGTTTCCAGCTCTCTCCGTTCACCCAAATCCAAATTGTACCATATCTAGTGCCGTTTAGTACTTTTCGTACACACAAATACGAATTTCCACAGATGTCTCTATAGCTCAATATTCAACAGTAATCAGAATTCCAAATTTCAGGTTTTATACTCATCCGTTTAAGCAAAATCCAAAGTGTACTATATTTAGTACGATTTAGTACTTTTCGTACCAATAAGTGCGAATTTCCAAAACTACCTCAATTCTACACTGCAACTGTCATATTAATTCCAAATTTCAAGACTCCCGCTATATATGTGAACCAAAATCCAACTTGCACCAAATTTAGTATCATTAAGTACTTTTCGTACACAAAGGTACAGTAGTCCTAATTCCGATTTTCAAGATTCCATCTATATACACTCAACTAAATGCAAATAGTACCAAATTCAGTACTTTTTAAAAAACGTAAATACGAAAATCTTAAACCATTTCTATACATCAACACCACTTCCCAACCTGTATTCTGTATAAAATTTCAAGATTTTAGCTATATATGTTCAATATATGTAGAATTAGAACTAAATTTAGTACTTTTAGTACACTTATAGGTCGAATTTCCAAAAACCCTTTTGTACATCTTTCTAACTTTTCATCAGTGACCCACATTCCAAATTTCAGAATTCTAGCTCTTCCCGTTCGCCTAATACAAAGGGTACCATATTTGGTACATTTTAGTACTATTCGTACCGTTCTAGTTCGAATTTCCAAAAACCCAGCCTAATCTCACGCTAATCAACCCACACTCAAAATTTCAAGCTTCTAGCTTTAGCCGTTTCGTCTGGGCTATGATCTGTCAGTTACTCACTCACTTAACACTAAGCTCTTTTATATATATATAGATATTTAAACATAAACACTGTAAAAAACCATGCCGATCAAAAATGCCAATGCCCCAGGGGGAAGCTTTGAACACTTTGACTTCGTCCATTAAACAGTAATGAAATATTTATATCAAGCTTAAAGTATGTCATATGTGTATTCATTGTGATGGTTACATACTTACCTATTAGTTAAAATTTATAAGAAACCAAAAATTATAAAATAACAAATGAGCCTTGAAAAAAAGTGTTCAAAGGTGCCCCCTCTCCCCTAATAAAATGGTACTAAAAAGTACTAAAACTATATTACACCGGAACCTTTGGAAGTAGAACTCTGAAATTTGGTATGCAGCTTTGTCAATGAAAGGCGAAAGGTAATGTGCGAACAATTTTTATGTGCTGAATATTATATTACAATGGAACAGGTACGGGTAGATATCTGAAACATGGCATTTAACTCAAGCTATTACAAATATCGTTCTATTTGTAAAATATTTTTTGAAAATCGGTACTAAAATGTACTAAAAAGTTATGAATATTATATTACAATAGAACCGATAGAAATAGAAATCTGAAACTTTGTATATGGCATTTACTATTACTTTACATATCTGAAGCTTGGTATCTTGATTCAACTATTACAAGTACTTCGCTATGCATACTTTTTGTGAAATACAGTCAACGAATGATATATTGTCAGGCCCAATCGTTATAGTGAAAAATTCGTTATATCGCGAAGTTACTTTAAGGTGCAATTTTATTTAAAAACAAAAATGTTAATCCACTTGTCAATGGATTTCTAACAGAAAATAATTATAATAAAAACCAGTAAGGAATGCAGTAAAGTGGGACTGGGCCGACTATATGATACGCTTCACCACTTTGCGTATATTGTACATATGTATCCCCTCCAAAGAACATACGCAAGTCTTTCTGCGGACAGATTTAAAGTCGACTTCGTACAAATTCATGAAACACGACTTATAGCTAAATTAATACACGCTATTCGTTCGCCACACTGTTAAAATTTTAATTTCATTCAGACATCCATTCGAAATACATATGGAAGCTATGACAGCATCTACATCAATTTCAACAAAACGCAATAACGTTATTCAAGTCTCAACTTGATACGTTGTGCAAAAAATCGTGCAAACATTAGAAGGTTGGTGCACCATTTACGTAAAATCGGACGAAAAATCGAAAATCGGATGTATGTATATGTGGGAGCTATATCGAAACCAGAACCGATTTTTCCGAAACTTAGCATACATAACTCTAGACTTAATTCAGTACGAAGTGCCAAATTTCATGCAAACCGAAGGATATAGAGGGACTTTGGTGCCCCATTTAGCTTATCCCGAATTCGTTAAAAAGAGTATTCGTTATACCGGGCGTCGACTGTATGTACTAAAATGGTACTAAATATTAAATGACAACTGAAACGGTATACATTAAAATCTGAAACATAGTATGTTGCTTAATTATTTCACATATAATGATATGCATATATATATTTTGGGAAATAGAAATATACTAAATAATTGTACTAAGAATGGGAAAAGTTTGTACAAAGAACGCAAAGAAATTCTATAGCGCGGCATGTGTCGGACGATCTTAAAATTAAACAGAAACACTCCTCACGCCCCATAGACCATATACATAATGTTTGGTCAAAATCGATGCAGTAGTTCTTGAGTTACGGTACAAAAACTCAAAAAAAAACTAAATATTGCGCCATCTGTCGCATGAACTTCTAACTACGCAGAAACACTCCCCACATCCCATAGAGATGGTACATACAATTTGGTCAAAGTCAATGCAGTAGTTTTTGAGTTTGCACGTCATTTATATATAAAGATATTATATATAAAGATATAGATAGATAAATTCGAATCCTACATGGAGACCATGGACGTACGAAGGAGGCGGCCCGATAGCCCTGCCCCCTGAAATGAATTTTTTCACAGTAATATAATGTTTGCAACAGAGATTTTTTTCCATTTTGTACTACCGGGAAAATTTTGAGAAAAACATAAAAAAGTCGGAGATTGAAGTAATCGAATGTTGTGTTACTTACAACTTTTATAACTCGAGAACG